CCCACACACACACTGAAATTACAAGCCAGTAGGTCTAGTGTTTACACTGTTTTTGAATCTTCAAAAAACATCATTTTGTGAGGCAAAATTTATAGCAATGACTGTTGCTGTTAGAGGAAAATGTTACTGCTAATTAATGGTTTCTGATGGTCAGACATATGAGTCCGCTTCGTTCTTAAAGAGTTTAGGGGGTTATTTATGCAGGAAAAAATTCCGTTACATAAGCTAGGTTTCTGTTAGGCGGATGTTGCTCTTATCTGTGTTGCTACTGAGAGGACACTACTTTACTCACAAAAAGCAGGACAGAGAGTCTGAAACAGCTGTCGGATCGTGAAGAAGTAGGTGTTTTAGTTTTAGTAAGGGTTTTAGGGAACTTGCAACACAATAAGGCCAATTAAGTGCCGAAGATTAGATGTGTTACAAAAGAGTAAACAAACTCAAACAAGAAGGAGGAGGAGATCAAGACGATGCGTGTAGATTTTTGAAAGGGTGGAAAGAGCAAACCACACCAGATCACGCGCCAACCACCCGCAAGTTGAAGCAACCAAAAAATCCTTCACCCAGAAGGAGCATCAAAACGCGAGCACAGATTTAGGGGAAGTAATTCATCATATATTTATGATGAAGTGTCAGTGTTGTTGTTTCCCCTGGAATGCACTAATGTCGTGCAATACTCGTCGACACAACACAAACATAATAATAATAATAACAATAGCAATAATCATAATAATATAATGATAATAATATTTAAAACACACACACACACACACACACACACACACACACTCTCTCTCTCTCTCTCTCTCTCTCTCTCTCACACACACACACTCACACACGCAGACACACATCGTACCTAGGGATAATGCCGCTTTATCTGGGTAATAATAATATAATACAATGTGTACATAGTCGGCATATTTGTTTGTTTGTTTGTTTGTTCTTTTTTTCACATACAGAATTGTTTATTTACCATCAAACCAGCTTGGGGTGTAGTACCTAATCCACGGTAAATTTTACATCAATAACGAATCTGATGTCAAATGCACGTTTGAAAAAAAAGGCAATTGTTTTTTTGTTTTTTTTTACCCCATCACTCTACCCCGGACCGATGGAAAAATTTTTAGGTCTGCCACCAGGGGCGGCTCGTGGGTCTAAAAAGTGGGCGTGCACAATTAACTATCTTAGGTTGAAGATAGTCAAGGGCATAGTAAATGAGATGGTGTATAATTTTAGGATCTTTGGTTTGGTGAGGGAAAACCTTGTGATTCTATTTTCATTTTTTTAACTTTTGGCGTTGACATCTAGAACTAAATCTGTTTGTTAGCTAAACGTCAATTTCATTCATCCTGCTTTAGAACTGATTACACAAGTAATACCTTTCACCACT